ACTATAGATTTTCAGTACTGGCAGTGAATATCTGAACGCAGTCTTGAGTCACGCATGAATCAGTGGCGGCGCTAGAGAGAACAGTTTTATTATTTTTCTAAGGATTTCATTACAACTTTGTATAATACTTCGTATAATATCGTTCAATGCGCGCTTGTAATTCGTGAATCCTTAGAACGCTCGTTTATTAGCTTCAAATTGCGAGGAACAACAGTTGCTTCTCCTGATACAGAGAATTGCACTGGTTAAATTCCGGGACACTACTTATATACAAAAGTGTTCGCGATTTTCGTAAAAACTTGTTGAGTGGATGCTGATACAGGATCAAATAAGGAAAGAATAAAACACAGCTTTGTTTCAAATGGTCCTGTTACAGACATTGTACAAAGTACATGTTGTCCTTGAGATGTCGGTAAGCATAAAATCACCACTTTTCGGTGGTTGCACCTCCCCAGCTTTGAGCGGCTGGAGGTGCGACGGGTGTCGACCACTCCTCCGGAGGCTGAACACACAACAATACCGTAATTTATTGTCTTGTTTAATGCATATGTAAGTCACGGTGGAAAGAAAGTACCTTCCATCATGATGTAAGTTATAAGTATCAAGGAATATGTTTTATAAATATATAAAGTAATGTGTCAGAATAATAAATTGGAAAAGCAGTAAGATTGACTAAATCAAGTGAGTCGAGAATAAATCTGATGCAAACGTCTCACCTGGGCAGCCCAATCACCGCTGGGTTGGAATGGCTGCGTGGCACCGGCCACTGGGGGAATAGGAGCGGCTGCCGGCGGTGCTACGTCATCGGCCCAGTTCTCGGTGGGCACTGCGGTCGTCTCGACCTCGTTCACCCAGCCGGGCTCCGGAGCAGGAGCAGTCTCCACCGGACCCGTGAATTCCTTCGGCGGCGGCGCGATCTCCTTCGCAGCCTGTTCTTCTTTCTCTGCCTGGAAAGAAGACGTTTCACAACCTGTTATCGATCGCGGAGCTACGCACGCGGAAGCGCGTCGTGGAATATTCGTTCGATCTTTGTCAGAAAAGATTAAGCCTTAAAAAAACCAACAGATTTGTTTCTGGATCCTATTGTCTCATCATTGCGATAAACTTAAAACGGTAGTGTGGGGAAATTAGACAGTAGAGAGTGAGAGAAGATTGCACAGACCTCCTCGGGATCTCTGTAGAAGAAGAGATCGACCACCACGTCCCACTTAGTCTCACGTGGAATAGATCCCCTTAGGCGCAGCACTTCCCTGGCGAGCAGCCACCACATTAAACCAACTGTGTGCAGACTCTTGGTGTTGCAAGGAATCGCAATGTCTACGAAACGCAGCGGCGAGTCGGTGTTGCAGAATGCGATAACTGGGATATTTACATAGCTCGCCTCGGTGATGGGCTGATGGTCGGTGGACGGATCCGTGACGATCAACAAGCGTGGTTCACGGAAGGCAGCCTAGAAACCAAAAAATTGGCAAAAATTATGCTGCACTTAAATCATTTTTCGAGCTATCCAATGATATCGAAACAAAATCAGAAAAGATTAAGCCAAATAAACCAACAAGTGTCAATTCTGGAATTAAGTGTTTCATCACTTTAATTTTTAGTACTGTAAATCTAACAATAAGTTAAACGGGACGTTTGCTAATTTTTTCACCTGGATTTGATTGGTGAATGCACCTGGGGTGAAACGTCCGGCGATAGGGGTGGCACCGGTGTGAGCCGCAAATTTCAGCACAGCTCTTTGGCCCGAATGACGACAGCTGATGACAAAAACTTCACTGGGGTGTTCGATGGCGACGATGGCACGAGCCGCGAGTAGCAGCTTCTCCCAGGTGTGGCGAAGATTGATGACATTTACACCAGCACCTAAAAAAACGTAAAAGAAATAGCATGAAGATTGTGATTAGCGTATTCTAAGAAATCTAAATTACATTTAAAGCGTATACAGATTACTTGCCATCGACTCTCTTCTTATAGACGTACTGCTCCATTTGGAAGTTGACGTTTTCGGCACCCAGGTGGGTGCCAGCAGCCAACATTTTGGTGACATCGTCCTCCTTGAGGGCCAATACGTCTAAACCTCCTGACATTTTAACGTTGTGGTTGAATTACGAGTCAAC